TTGTGCAGCTAATAAAGGTCTGTCTGAGAATGCCAATTGGATAGCCTTTGTTCCTCCTGAATCACCTGAAGATCATAGAATACCACCTTCTTCTTTTAAGGTCTTTCCTTGCAAAAGATGGCAAGAAAGGAAAAAGATCCTTCTTTTGCCTTGCCTCTTTCCTGTTAAGCTTCCAAAATCGATCATCTAAGTTCTCTAGGCCATTCGGTAGCCTACAGCATGACTGAATTAATTGAGGTACCTTAGTCTCATTGGGGGAGACGGGTGGGGTAGGAGGGGGAAGAGGAATATTTGGTCAGGAAGGCCCCCTATAACAAATGAATTTAAAAATAAAAGTGGTCAGCCCTCGCCAGTGCCCAGGCCTGTAATCCTAGCTACTCAAGAACCTGAGATCTGAAGATCAAGAATCAAAGCCAGGCCAGGTAGGATAGTGTGAGATTCTTATCTCCAATTAAGCATCAAAAAGCTGGAAGAGGAGTTGTGGCTCAAGTGTAGACTGTTAGTTAGCCTTGAGCAAAAAACTCAGGGACAGTGTCCAAGCATTGAGTTCAAGCCCCAGGATCGGCGCAAAGTAGCATCCCTAGGCATTTGTAAAATGGTAATCAAAAGCAGAAAAAGGAAAGTACTTCATCTTTATGAGTTTGGCTAAAATAAAAAGGACATAATAACAAGTGTTATCAAGGACATGAAGACACCGGAGCCCTCAGACAAAGTTGATGGAACACTCAACTTTGTGGAAGCTCTCCAGAACTATAAACTTAAGAGCTATGGTATGTCTGAACAATTCTCCTGACTTTCCATCTGAAAGAACTGAAAGCATAGGCTGACACAATAACTTGGACACAAATGTTCTAAACAACATTGCTCCTAGCGACCAAAAAGTAGATAACTAGCCACCAAAAAGTAGATAAACCTAGTAATTGTCACAAGAATGAGCAAAAAGTAGTATATCTCTATATGGTGGTATATTCTTTGACCATAAAATAGAATTAACTTCTGATTTGTATACATGAATTGGAAAAGTATTAGACTATGTCAAACAAACCAGAGACACAAGCTATCCAGTGTATGGCCTATTTCTATGAAATGTCCAGAATAGATAAATCCATGGAGGGAGACAAAGTACAAGGAAACCACGAGAGAAGGCAGGCCAGTGGGCTGGGGAAAGGTGAAAGAAAGTGACTAATTTCAAAAGTTTCTTTTGGGGGTGATAACAAGATACTGGAAGTAGATAGTAGAATTGTCCAAATGTGTGAATATACTATAAAAATGACTGAAGTGCACACTTAGATTGTTTATGGGAATAAACCTCCATAAAACTATTCTACAAAAAAACGGAATGACCTACTGATGTCCAGGACAACATAGATAAACTCTAAAATAAAATATTAAAGAAAGAAAAAAAACACAACCCCAGGAGTTGCCTGGGGTTGCAGTCAGAGACAGATAACTAGAAATGGGCAACAATTGTTTTGTGGTGTTGAAAATGTTCTCAAACTGGATTACAGAGATGGCTGCACACATATAAAATTCACTAACAATGAGCAAATTGAGCATTTGCAATACTTGAATTTTAGAGTACATAAATTATGCTCTAAAAAGGCTATAAAATATAGGAGGGCTGGGAATGTACCTTGGTAGTAAAGCATTTGCTTAGTAGGCAGCAAGCTCTGAATTTGATTCTCCAGTATTGAAAATAATTGAAATCTTAAGTATTAGAATAGTACAATGTAGAATAAATCGGGAGATAAAAAACCTTTCATATAGCGCTGGCGGGAAAAAAGGGACACAGTCGCATTCAGAGACTGTCTGGCAACTTCTAATGAAACCTAAATATACATACATTAGAGGATTCAGCCATATTACCCCAAGAAGGTATATGTGTAGATGTATGTGTGTGTGTGTGTGTGTGTGTGTGTATTGGAGATACATATGAGATGAGTCTATGAGTCCACTAAACGGCATGATCGATAGCTTTTCACAGTCATTAAAATTTAGAAGTAATTAATGTATTCATGGCCTGCTCTAAGGGGTAAATAAATACTGGAATAATCACACAGAGGATTATAACAGGAAAAACAAACCGTGATCTTATGTGACAACACAGCTATCTCTCAAAACCAATGTAGTCCAAGTATCTCTCTCACACACACACATGTATGCACATATGCGCCCACACAGGTACCAGCTGAGTCTATCAACATGAAATGCACAAACAGGCAAAAGTACTTCTGGTCGTTGTTTGAAGGGGTGGGATACTCCTGGGATGCTATGAATATGAGTGGTAACTTAGTAAACAAGTTGTGCACACATTACACATACACTGTGCTGCATGCATGTTATACTCAAATAATATGCCACAGGGGTTTAGCAAACATCATGCAGCTTTGGAGTTCAAACTAAACACAGTCTCCAGAAGGAGTCCAGTGGTCAAGAATCCTCTCCCCTGGAGTCTCACCAACCGGGAGGCCGTGGCTGTGTCACAGGAGAGAAGACAGGAGGTTTAGGCAGTGCCATCACAGTCTATTGCTTGCTTTTCTGAGGGCACTTATCTTTCTAGAAAGCACTTCCCTCTCTCTCTCTCTATCTCTCTCTCTCTCCCTGTTGAGGAAGGAGTGCATGCTTCTATATTCTACTGAGTGTTTTTTCCTGCTTGCTTTCTTTGCATGGGATGCCTCATGCAATACAACACGATCGCTTTTGTCCTGTGAATCTGCCTGTTGTGTCTGTTTATTTCATAGACTCCATTAGTAAACCTTCAGAGGGGATCAGGGGAGTTTTTATTCCCTTCCAATATCAACACTCAAATAGGACTGAGCTCTGTGACTCTAGAGAGATCGCAAATCATTTTAAGGATTCACACATCTTACAAGTCAGCACTGGACGTGACAATTACTGGGACCAACCTTTGAGAGTGATGAACTGACTCACTATACTTAAGGACACACGTCATTGGCTTGGGCCAAAAACCAGAAAAGCCCTTCAGTAGGAGCTCTTGTCTAGTGTGACATGGGAATGAAGGAACATCATTACCTTCTCTAACATTTTGACTTATCTATAAGAAGGAAGTTGCTGCCACATTCTCAGCCATTCTGAGGATCCAGATCTTGTGTTCATGGTCAGTTTATTTTTATTTTAATTAAATTTTTTTAATTCACTTTTTTTTTGGGGGGGGTTTCATCATGGAGCTCAGGGTGGAAGCACTGTCCGTGAGCTGTGTTTGGCTTAAGGCTAGTTCTCTACTATTTTGAGCCACAGCTCCACTTCTGGTGTTTTAGTGGTTAATTGGAGTCTCCTAGAGGGGGCGAGACTCTTCCTGCCTGGACTGGCTTTGAACTGTGATCCTCAGATGTCAGAATCTGAAGTAGCTAGGATTACAGGTATGAATCACCAGCACCTAGCTTTATTTTTATGTTGTTTAGAAAACATTTCCCCCCCACACAGATTATTTAAATTCCTCACCCTTTGTATCTCCTCTCCACAGACCTCCAATAAAATAGTAAAGCCAGAAGAGTCCCATTTTTCTGACCTAGCTTCTCCTAGGAAATAGTTTCTCTATTTTTTTAAGCTAAGTTAAAAAAAAATTACGCAAAGTCAAATTTTCTCTGCCTATGCAAACCTGAGAAATCTCAAAGGTTATGAACTTCCTGCTTTCCCGCTGCATGATCCCTTGACATAGAATAGACCTCAAACATCCTGAATTTCAAGAACGGCTCACTTTTTGTGATTTATTTTTTTCCTTCAGACAGGAAGGAAAGAACCTTGCTTTACTTTCTATTCCCCCCCCCCCCCGGGGGATAGTGGTCCTTGGTGAACGCAGGGCCTTGTGCTCAGTACTTAGCAGGCACTCTTGTTGAGATGGGGTTGGGTCCTTGATAACTTTTTGATTTGCTAGAGTATTTGGGTATACATGAATGTATCAATACATCCAGCCCTGGGATTTTGATTTTCAGCGCTCTTTTCCTTTTCTTTCAGCTCATTTCCAGGTATACAAGTGGTAAGTGGGCTCCTTCTTACCATCAAAGTGCTCATCATGTAGTTGCTTACAATGTGCAGTGTACCATGTACTAACAAAGTACCATGTTATGCCTTGTCTCACTCCCTAAGTTTATATGGTAACACACTGGTCTTTCTTGTTGGGAGTGGGGTACTCCTAATTTACCACACCAAATAGACCACAGCCTATTTCTAGTGTTAATAAAGAATTTTTCCTGTGTCCCCCAAGCTCACAATCCCAAAGGAGGAGAACACTGGAAAATATTCATCTGTTGACATGAAAAGCGAATTCTTCCCTTCCATCTACTAGGGTTTTGATCAATATTCTGCCCCCATTATTTTCCAAGCTCTAAGCCACAATTCTGATCAAGCCTAGAGCCAGAGAGGAAGAAGATAAGAGTAGAATCAGACTTTCTTGTTTCCTGGGAGAGAAACTCATTTGTTTCCTCTGAGAAAGTAGAAATAGAAATGATTTTAGATGCCTGAAACATGATAAATACATGCTTATCAGATATGGGAATCAAACAACTCAAAGAGTTTTAGGAGCCAGTGAACTTCCAGTGGGAGAGAACAAGGCTGGTGTTGGAGTTCTTGCTTGGCGTACTTGAGAGAAGGCATTGCATGCTGGGTATTGGAAGTAATTCAAAGCTCCTGATGTTTGAGCTCAGAGGAAGAAAACTGATCTCAACAGGGACAGAGTTAAAAAGGTAAGACATTCTCCAAGAGCTTTCTTCAGATACTATTAATTAGTTTTGAGGACAAGGTAAAAATGCAGAGAATGACTGATCTATTGCTAGTCAAAAGAACAATTTTTAACCTATCCATTAACTGAAGTTATTCCCACAACTGCTTCTATTTATCATCTAGACATTTTTTTTTAAAGAGTGAAACATATGCTCTTAACATCAAGTTCCAATTCTTGGCTGGCTTTAAACTACTTTTAATTTAAAGTAATTTATGATAAGGAATCTTCTCCCTGGACAGGGCACTTAATCTAAATTTACCTTTAGAGGCTTCTGTCCCCAGTGGGTTGTCTGAGAAGTCGGCCATGTCATGGCTCCAGGCATCCCGGACGGCAGACTTAGATACAACTCTGTCATTCAGAGCCTGCTGTGGTCGGAAGTTATTTCTCAGATACTCCACTGACTTCACGTGGTCTTGCTGTTCGGTGGTGAAGATGGAATAAAAAGCCTCGAGCTGAAGAGAGAAAGAGAGGGAGGGGGGAAACCCCACATCCATTAGGCGTTCTCTGAGCCAGAGCAGGTGGGTGACAAGAATACTATTCCTGCTGGAACTGGGTGTAATGTCTGTCCAGCCTGCCTCACCTAGGCAACTCTCTAGCTCAGGGATGTGCAGAGCACTTGAAGCCAAGACAAGAGTCCTTTCTTCAGGGTTCCCTGGAAGGATATCATTGTATGATAGAAAGGAGCACTGTCTTCCAGCTATATTGGAAGGTGCAAGGCTATATTGCCTGGTTATAATTCTTCACCACTCACCCATTCTGTGGCCCCTACACAGCCCGGTTCACTTCTCTGAGCTTCCCATTTCCTCCATAACCTGGACACCATCGTAAGAGCATCTACCTGACATTTCTTGGGTCCAGACGCAGTGCTAAAACAGTTCCTGCCACACAAAGCTTGAAACCTACTTGTGATTTAATGCTTTATCACAATCTGCTTCTGAAATACAAAGGATCAAGCTCAGCCAAAGCACCAAGTCACCGACCAGGGTACACAGGGGAAGTAACATTGCCCAAGTCAACATTCATGAGATGTGCTAGCCTGGACAAACTGTTCAAGCTCTGTGTTTCCTCATCTGTAAAACATCTGTTGTTGAAAGGCCTGTCTTCAAAGGTGTAAGGATTAAATCTAGGTACGTCACTTAGCACACAGTAAGTTTTCAATACAAGATTGGCTGCTGTCATTATTATTTATGGGAGGAAATGTCTCCCCCAAGAGTGCCCACAAAATTTTCTGGGAAAAGAAAAAGGGGCCGGGAGAGAGGGAGAGAGAAAGGGGGAGATGGGGAGGGAGAGAATACAAAGTTTAGAGATTGTATTTCTAAAATGAAAAGGGATTCTGTGTGGTTCTCTACATTGAGATCATTATCAAAGGTCATTCGCTTGCGTGTGACAGATGGAGCTGTGACTGGCGGTCAAACTGGTTCTCCTGGGACCACGAGATTCTTGTCACCAAAGAAAAGCAACTCCCAACTCCCAAACCCTAGCTCCTTGAGGTAAGGAAACAAGGAGGAGAGAAAAAGTGGATGAACACTTCTGGCCCCTTTGGTTCCTTCCTCCAGACTGCAGATGGAAATGCTTTTCCCTAGGAAAGAACTTCAAAGACAACCAGAACAGAAAAAGCTTTCCAAGCAAGAGGGGAAAAGGGGAGTGGGGGGTGGGCAGGGGATCCGCTGCTGGCTCTGGGGAACCAGGTGGCAGTCAACAGCAGAGTGTAAAATTAAAAAGAAAAAGAAAAAGAATTACTACCTAGAGCTAACACGATTGTTTCTCAAACAACCTCAGGGAATGTCCCAGAAAATGATTTGCTAGCAACAATTATTGGAGACTTCCTCTTTGCACGAGAAAGCCACGCATTTGCTAGTGATTTTAGCCAAGCAAAATCATTTAAGTAAATAGATTTACCTATCATCATTCTCCCTCTCTCCAATGCTATCGCTTATGTGAAATGGTAATAAAGCATGAAGAAACCTCTTGTGCCTTTTCATCAAGGTAATAGTTTCTCTTAGCCTGAGAGCTCATCCTAGCCTGAGAGTGCCCTTTGATTTCCTTATGACCTCAATTCTCTCGGACTATTCTGCTTTTCCTAACAGCTCAGACCATCTCTATTCAAACTTCACTTTCCTTCTTACTCCCCCTCCTTTTGTACTTAAAGACAAAAAAAGACATCCTAAATGACAAAAATACACATTCTCTTTTCTGTCTGTGTCAGGGTTTTGATGCAGGGCTCAGGGCTTGCTTGGCTTGTCCCTCTTTTACCTGAGTCATGTATCCAGCCTGTTTTTTGGATAGTTATTTTACAGATGAAAATAAGAAAAGCTAACTTTTCTGCCTAAGCAGGCTTCAAACTTTGATCCTTCAGATTTCAGCCTACTGAGATGCTAGGATTACAGATGTGAACAATCAGCACCTTGTCAGATTTTTTTTTTCATAACCTAACTATTCTGTATTCATTCTGTCCCGAGAGGAGCCACTGAGATACAGACAACTTATAGCGTTGAAAGAAATTACCTCAACCCAGTGTTGTGGCTCATTTCATAGCATGACCCAAATCAGGCAGAATGCATTGGGGGTAGGGGTGTGGGGGGAGGAGGACTTCCAATTTCCTTTCCCTTCTTTTTTTCTTAAGAAAAAATGAAAATGGCGTCCAAAAAGTGTATGGAAAGAATTAACAAAGACCCTATGGAGACATTCCAAGGAATGACCAAAAACAATCTTTCTTTAAAAAAAATGAAAGGCTGAAAAATAAATCCTGTGAGTAAAGGTTAAAGGGAGTGGACATGTTTAGCCTGAAGAAAAGATGAGTAAGGAGTAATTTGATTAAAGGCCCTTGTATATGGAACATGCTGACCAGCTCTTCTCTATACATAGAGAAGGCCAAATGAAAGGAACTGGGCTTAAATTAAAGCCATAGAGATGAGAGAGTTTAATCAAGTAGGATCACTTCACTTTAAGGGTGAGTTACTTTTACTTTTTGTTAAAAACCTTAAAATTTGAAGTGATTGGACAGAGGAGTTTCCATTCAACCTATCAGTGTATGAGTCCAGTACATCTGGATGCATGGTATCTCTCCTAATCCCACCCATCCCCTCAAATTACCCACTTCCAGTTTCACATATGTCCATTTAATAGTAGGATTGCATTTGCTCATAAGGGTAATTTTTTAAAAACATCTTCTCTTTTTAAATCCCACTGGGCTACCACCCACAGTAAGATGGAAAATATTCTGGTGAAGACAGAACTGTCCTAGAATAGGTTAATCTCTGTCACATCAGAATGGCCTAGGAGGCTCCCAAGCAATCCAACTCGAAGGTTTGTTTACTGTCTACAACACTTGCCCGCTTTCACAGTGAGCATTTAGTTCTAAAAAGTTTCTGTCTGATGCTTCAGGGAAGATTAGTGTAACTGCAGAGAGAGTCAGGTTGTGAATGAAACACACAAATGCCTTTGCTTAAATTGCTCTTACAGCTTAATGACATGCTATGGCTTAAAAGCTCAGGCCTCTTCCTTGTCATTAACTCAACGTGCCCACCGATTTTTAAAGAAAGACTGTGACGGCTCTGAATGACCTGATGACCTGAGCGATATTATATTGTCAACTGGATCATAGCTTCTCTTGACAGTTGCACAAAAGAGTTCAAGGAGGAGAAGCTTGGCAGACGTATTCAGTGCCCTTCGGTGACGTGACAGGCCTCACTCCAACCCTGTCATTCCTCTAAGTGGAAAGAGAATTGCCAGTAGCCTGTCTCTTGGCTAACTGTCCTCCTGTCTGGCCACTGAGTGGATACTCCCATGATTTCTGGATTGGTGCTGGGAGTGTAGACAGGTACACAGCAATTACCTAGGGCAGAACTCTATGGATGCATTCTTTTCTTTTTTTTGCCAGTCCTGGGACTTGAACTCAAGGCCTGGCTTGAATTCAAGATTGAACTTGAACTCAAGGCTAGCACTCTACCACTTGAGCCACTTCTGGACTTTTCTGTTTATGTGGTGCTGAGGAATGGAACCCAGGGCTTCATGCATGCTAGGCAAGCACGCTACCACTAAGCCACATTCCCAGCCCTATGGATGCATTCTTATGTGACAACTTCAGGTTGTCTTGAGTTCCCAGCCTTGCCTCGGGCCTCCACTATGTTCAATTCCAAAGATACCACCAGGCCACAATGGAAAGGGGTCCCCTGGAGTTGAATGGCATCAGAGTCCCAAGTGACATGGGAGCCACAGGACAAATTACAGCAAGTGTGTCTCTCTGGGTTTCTGACTTGTGTATATGTTTAGGGCTTAACTGACTTGATCTTTCCAGATCTGTTCCAAGGCTTTACAGTTAACTTACAAATACTGCTAAGATCATGCCATATTTCTGTTCAAAGCTGTCCCATAATAATTTATCAATTAATTAATTAATTAATGCAATACTAGGAGTTGAAACAAGGGCCTCACACAATGCTTGTATTTCACCACTTAGAGCCACTTAGAGCTTTTATTTTCACTTTTGTTATTGAGATAAGTTCTATCTGGGTCCTTCTTACCTCCACCTCCCTAGAAGCTGAAATTACAGAAAATCTGCCACTATACCCAACTCAGGCTTCCATCCTAACTATGGGGTCCTAATGATCTGACTGAGCTAAATTTTCCAACTTTGAAACTCCTATCTTTGCCACCTGTTTTGGAATTCTACCTAACTAAGGGATGGGTCCTTGTCAACTTACTGAATCTTCCCATCTTTTGCTGTCCTTATGTATGAGAGTAATAACCTTATTGCTTTTCACCAGTGTTTTTCTTTCTAAGTGAGTTTCTATACATCAAGTCTTTGAAATAATTCCTGGCACACAGTAGGTGTCTAGTGTTATCCTCACTGCTAGCAGTCACAGTCTTCTCAACACTTCCAACAAGGGGAAGGTGCTGTAGCTGCTTTCCCCTTCTCATTACTTGAGAAACTAAGTAATGTGTCAAGCACTGTGCAGAAATCATTTTGGTTTCTTTGTTGTTGTTGTTGTTATCAGCTGTTTCTATTTCCTGGAATTCATTTCGATAACTATTATTTTATGTGATCAGAGGCACAAAGGCATTGTGCCTTTTATTTTGCTTGCTAGTTTATATTTAGTTTAAAATACCATCCTTAATGCTATATTATTATTTCAAAATCATGAACACTGTCAGAGAATATTTACTGAGCACTTACGTGGAAAGGACTGTGCAAACAACAACAACAACAAACATACAGAACTTAAACTGGGCTTCAGAGACACAAGTTACTTGCCCACTGTGTGTGATGATTCGGTTTCTCAGACTCCAGGACATATACCCTCAACATGAATCATGGGAAGAGCAGCCACACAGTGAAGGAACGGAATATGGTCACAGCAGATTATTTCCAAATTATTCCCACAGCTGATCTCGATGAAGGCATGCCGGCCAGGTATGCCAGCACTGCAGCATAGATCTATTAGCCCTTTTG